AAATGTCCCCCAAAGCCTAGAAGAGAGCACTGTTTATCTGCAGTGGGCTGCGCATGCCCCCCTTCTATGGGGATGGATCTGCACGCAGCTTTCCCCCGTACTTTCTGCTGGTTCGCTCTGTTTTGTGGCCCAGATAACTCCTCCTGCTCTGAGAGGCACGTGAGATGCAGGAGACGTTCTCCCACAGAGGAGGGCTGCCTGGCAATGAAAGCGAATCACAAAGGCTGTTCGATGTGGTGCCCAAAAGGAATGGGATCAGGCAGCAACTGCCACTAATGTGCTGTGTGCCAAGCTACAATGCTGTACTTCAGTGGGCAAGCGAGGGAGCTGGTTACTCAGTCACGTGCCGGGATGGATGACTCAGCTGAGCTGGAGGAGATAAAAGGTTGATATATTTTCAGCTCTCCTTAGAGGCGTTGCCAGTGCCTCTCACAGGAATACAATACGCTATTTCTACCATCTGCTGAGCACTCCTACGCCTGCTGGGTGGCAGAGCGCTCCCGCACGCTTAATGGGGACCCAGAGGTTCGTTTAGGAGCAGCTCTGCAGAGAGGTTAACGAGGGGACCGCAGAGGGGGATTCCTGGGGGCTGGTCCTGGGTCTGTCGCCAGTTTGCAAAAGCATTTCTGGGAAATTGCAAAGTTGTGTGTCTTCTATGAAAAACACCGGGGTACGCGGCAGCCTGAGTGACAGGCAGTACAAGTGAGCAACCTCTTTCTTGAGCAAACCTCTTACTTGATTTTCTGTGGGCGTGTTCCCGAAGCCAGCTGGCTTCTGTCTGCATCGACACCGCAACTCCTGGCAGCTTCTGCGTGGCCATGGGTTCAACGCTGCCCAACGTTTCCATTTCCCTTAATTTAAGACACAAACCCACCCATTAGTCACATGCAATGACTTCAAAGCAGTTGCCCTTGACGGTTATACTAAGGAGACTTTTCCAAACGTATTTACTTAAAAATCCGAACACTTTCGCTATAGTAAGTGGGGCTTGGCCGCAGTTTTGCTGCTGGCTGAGGGTGCCGTCCGCCGTCCGTCCCTCGGGATGGCCGCAGCCCGTCGGCGGTCCCTCCCCGCAGTGTTTCGGGTGGCGGAGGGCAC